TCGTCGTCGACGTTCGACTCGCGCGCGTGCTGCTTCGCGTAGAGGTAGCCGTCGTCGTCGCCGTCGGCCCCGCCCCGGCGCCGCTCCGACGTCTCGCGCTGCGCGTTGCGCCCGCGGATCGTCTCCTCGAGGTCGGCGATCTCGTCCGTGAGCTTGGCGATCTGGGCGTCGTTGACGTCGAAGGCGCGCTTCTGGCCGTCGCTGAGGCCGTCCGCGCCGCCCTCCTTGGACAGCAGCCGCTGGTTGTCGGACCGGCACCGGTTGAGCTTCCGGAGCTTCGTCTCGAGGCGCTCGTGGAGCTTGGCGTCCTTGGCGTGCTTCTCGCCGTCCTTGAGCGTCGAATTGATCTCGCCGCCGTACTCCATGAAGCCGCGGTTCGTCTTGAGGTACTCGGGTAGGTCCGCCTCGGAGACGCCCGCGACGTCCCGCGCGTCCTCGGCGTCCTCGGCGAAGCCCCAGGTCACGGCGTCCCGGGCCGGCGGCGCGCCGCCGCCGGCGGCGGCGGCGGCGCGGGCCCGCGGCGCCTCGGCCGCCGCGCGGACGCTCCGCGCGGCCTCCGCGGGCGCCACCACGCGCGTCGGCACCGCGAACGTGCCCGACGCGTCGAGGCGCACGTCCTCGTTCTCCAACAGGGCGCGCGCCGCGCGGTCCTGGCCCGCGGCGTGGATGGCGAGCACGCGCGTCGACGCGCCGAGCTGCAGCACGTCGCCGCCGCGCGCCTCGACGTACTTCAGCGGCGGCAGCGGCGCCTTGTTGAGCCGCGACCCGTGGGCGCTGCCGCAGTCGGCGACGTAGAGCCGCCCGTCGTTGCTCCGCTGGAAGACGAGGTGCACGCGCGAGATGCTCGCGTGCGCCATCGCGTAGGCCACGCAGTCCGCCGCGCGGCCCAGGAGGAAGCGCGACGCCGTGAGCGGCACCGTCTCGACGGACGTGCCGTTCTTGATCATCTCCAGCGAGTACGCCGCGTCCGACGACTCGTCCGTCGGCGCCCAGGTGGGCAGAGGCGGGCCGCCGTCGTCGGCTTTTTGCGGAGGCGCCGCCGCCATCGCGCTCGCGGCAACAAAAATGGCGAGGTTTTGCTTGCCACAACCACGGCCTGTGGCGCAGCGCTCTCGGCCTGCAGGACGCCCGCTAACTCGAGCGTCTGGTCGACCTCCACTCCGCGTCGCTGCCGTCGCTGCGTCGTCGAGGCCCCGAACGCCCCCGGCTCGCCGCCCCCGCCCTCGCGTGCCCCCGGGACCGCGCGGCCCGCGGGCGCCGCCGGGCCCGCGCCGCCGCCCCGGGACCTTTCCCCGGCCTCCGCAAGCGCCCCCGCCGGCGCGCCGCGCTCGACCATGTCGGCGTCGCTCGTCGCCCACCGGTTCCGGACGCACAAGCGGCTCGGCGCCGGGTCCTTCGGGGAGATCTTCGTCGGCAGCGACGTGAACACGGGCATGCGCGTCGCGATGAAGTTCGAGAAGCACGGTTTGCGGTGCCCGCAGCTGCGCCACGAGTACAAGGTCTACCGGGAGCTCCAGGGCTGCCGGGGCGTGTGCAAGGTCCAGTACTACGGCACGCACAACAATTTTAACGTCATGATCCTCGACCTGCTCGGCCCGTCGCTCGAGGAGCTCTTCACGAAGTGCGGCCGCCGGTTCTCGCTCAAGACGACGCTCAAGCTCGCGGACCAGATGCTCGAGCGCTGCGAGGCGCTCCACGGGCGCCACCTCATCCACCGCGACATCAAGCCGGCGAACTTCACCATGGGCGACGCGACGACGTCGCCCATGGTCTACTGCATCGACTTTGGGCTCTCGAAGCGGTTCCGGAACCCGCACACGCTCCAGCACATCCCCCACCGCGTCGGCAAGTCGCTCACGGGCACGCCGCGCTACGCGTCCATCTCGAACCACCTCGGCATCGAGCAGAGCCGCCGCGACGACCTCGAGGCCATCGGCTACGTGCTCGTCTATTTCGCCAAGGGCCGGCTGCCGTGGCAGGGCCTCAAGGCCAAGAGCGCGCACAAGAAGTACAAGCTCATCCTCGACAAGAAGCAGGAGATCTCCATCGCCCAGCTCTGCCACGGCTGCCCGGCCCAGTTCGCCGAGTACCTGTCCTACTGCCGGTCGCTGAAATTCGACGCGTCGCCGAACGTCGCGTACCTCCGGCAGGGCAGGAAATGAGTGATTCAAGTTCGCTTCAACGTGAGTTTTCCGCGCGCGCGCGTTCCGGAAACAGCATCCACGCGTCGAGAGCGCTCCGAGAAATGATTGCTCGTCCAAAAATTAGCCGAAACGAGTGGGAAACGGCCGAGATATGAGCCTCCAAAGTTGGAAATTTCGCACTCTTCTCCTGCCCAGGTACCTCCGGCGCCTCTTCCGAGACCTCTACGTCCAGAGCGGCTACGACATCAACCACCTCCAGTCCAACGACTGGGACTGGATGGTGCCCGGCGCGGGCGTCGACGCGAGCCCGCGCGCCGCGACCGCCGCGCCGGGCCAGCCCGCGGCGCCGACGGGCGGCGCCGCGCCCGCCGCGGTCCAGTCGGGCGACGCCGCGGTCCAGTCGAAGCGCGTCGTGTCCCAGGGCATGCGGCCCCAGTCCGCCGGCGCCGAGCGGCCGAAGTCCGCCGCCGCCGCCGCCGCGTCGAGCCGCGCCGACTTCTCGTCCGCCGCGTTCGCGTCGTCGAACGCGCCGCGGACGTCGTCCGCGCGGTCCGGCGGCGGCGCGCCCGCGGGCGGCCGCGACGTCTTCCTCCGCGACGGCGGGCCCTCCGCCCAGGAGGCGGCGAAGTTCGCCTACGACCACCGCTACCGCCGGCCCAAGACCGCGTCGAACGCGCGGGAGGCCGGCGACGACGGCGGCGGCCGCGACGGCGGCGTCGACCGGTCGCGCGCCTGGGGGTCCCACGCCCGCGCCGAGCCGCCCCACGGCGGCGGCGCGCGACGAGACCGGCCCGCGTCCGCCGGCGCCGCCGCCGTCGGCGGCGCGCAGTTCAAGGGCGCGACGTCGTCCAAGTCCGCGCACCACGTCTCCGAGCGCGGCGGCGGCCGCGGCCAGGGCGCCGGCGACGACGGCGCCCACGTCGTCGCGGGGGCCCGCTCCATGATGGGCCTCGCCCGCGCGCGGTCCATGAAGACGAGCTCCACGGGCGCCACGGGCTCCCGCCCCCGCACGTCGTCCCGCGGCTAGCGCGCGCCGCGCCGCGCGCGCCGGCGGCGGGCTCGCCCCCCCCGGCGCCCCCCCCACCTCCTCGCGTCACCGCCGCCGGCCCCGGGCGCCACCGACACCGCGCGCCCGGCCGAACCCCGTTCGATCTTTCTTAACGACGGCGCCTCGACACGGAGCCGACGGTGCACCCCCTAGTGTTTGCCGTGCCGAGGTGATCCAACGATAGGCAGCCCCGGCATGGGCGGTTCGTCGGCCGGCGCCCGCGCCCCGTAGAAAAGTAAGACTTAAAGATGGTGACGACGACGACGCTGCCGACGCTCGTGCGCGTGACCAAGTCGCGGGAGCGGCCGGAGAAGGTCGTGCGCGTCACGAAGGAGAAGGCCCAGCTCTGCCGGAGCGGCGAGGCGGAGCGGGCCCTGGAGGGCCGCGACGGCAAGTCGCTGGACAAGGCCTTCCAGCAGTACCTCGAGTACCGCACGGTCAAGGAGCCCATCATGGAGGACAACCGCTGGCGCAACGTGCTCAAGCTGCAGACGCTGCTCACGCGGCCCGAGTACGCGAACATTTATCTCGCGGGCCGCGAGCACGCGCTCTACGAGGAGCTCCACCGGTCGAACCCGGAGCGCTTCGTGTCCAAGAGCCGGTTCATGGTCATCATGCGCCGCGTCTTCGGCTTCGAGCTCGCGCCGGTGCGGGGCGCCGTCGACGCGGACGTCAAGGAGCTCATCGAGAACGTCTACGACGCCTTCGACGAGCGGGGCAACGACAAGATGGAGTGGCGGGGCATCTTATTGATGCTCCACGTCGTCCTCAAGCCCTGGCTGCCGCCCGTGGCCCACTTCTCCTGGGGCTTCGCGATGGTCGGCTCCGAGGGCTCGTTCGACCCGACGTGCTCCGAGCCCTTCGACGCGCGGCTCGCGAGCCTGAAGCACATGCTCTTCACGCTGGGCCACGTCAAGAGCCGGCCCATGCTCACGCGCATGGTCGACGACACCTGGGCCGAGCTCTGCCGCGTCGACAAGCGAGCCGCGGCGCTGACGCGGAACGCGGAGACGCGGAAGCTTTTAGACGCGGCGTCGGGCAAGAAGAAGGACGAGGAGCGGCTCGGCGGCGCCATGAACGACAACGAGGAGACGAACGTCGCCGACGGCGTGAAGATCGGGCTGGACATCTTCGAGAAGCTGCTCCGGACGCAGCCCCTCGCGGGCCTCCTCTTCACGGGGGGCACCGCGTTCGGCGCGCGCGACCCGCGGACCTGGACCTACATCATCGAGGAGGAGCAGTACCACCCCCTCATCTTCAAGGAGATCCGGCGCCAGCGGCTCAACGCGCGCCACGAGGAGGCCGTCGCCGAGTTCCGGCGGACGCACCGGTTCCGCGAGAAGCGGCGCGTCCGCGCGTGGCACGACGTCGCGCACCGCATCCACTACCTCAAGGAGTTCGTGCTCGACGCGCTCTACAGCGGCGCGGCCTGCCGCATGCGCGTCTGCTTCATGCGCTGGCACCACGCCGTGCTCCTCGTCATCCGGGTCCTGGAGCTCCAGCGGCTCGCGCGGGGGTTTCTGGGCCGTCTGGACGCGCGGTGGATCTGGCGCATCCACGAGCTCGTCACCGCGGTCCAGGCCAAGGTGCGGAAATTCTTGGTGCTGACGGCGACGCGGAAGGAGCTGCGGCGGCGGCGCTGGGCGGCGACGGAGATCGAGCGCCACGCGCGAGCGCTGAACGCGCGGCGCCTCGCGATGTGGCGCCTCGAGGCCCACATCGACCGCGAGCACCGCAAGCTCGCCCAGCGGAAGCGCGAGTGGGCCGAGCGGCGCGAGCGCCACGCGGCGCGGGCCGTCCAGGGCGCCTGGCGCGCGCGCGTCGCGCGGCTCCGCGCGGCGGCGGAGAAGAAGCGGCGCGAGGACGCGGTGCTCACGGTCCGCGACATGGAGATGCTCCACGCGGACAACCTGCGGCGGCGCAAGATCTACGAGGTCCAGCTCGAGGACTGGTACCGCGACCGGAAGCAGGAGCACGAGATGAACACGATCTACGAGGACTTTGGCGCGTCCGAGCGCGCGAAGATCCTGCACTACCGGCGGAAGCAGATGTACGACGCGGAGCGCGAGAAGGAGCGGCGCGCGGCCCAGCTCGCGAACATGCTCGAGGACGAGCGCGTCGCCAACTGGATCCGCAAGTGGGAGATCACGAAGGAGGAGCGCGTCAAGGCGCTGCGGACGCGGCTCGAGTGGTGCCGGACGACGCCGGAGACGGCCGAGGAGCGCGCCATCGGCCGCAAGCTCCAGAAGGAGGCCAAGGCGCGGGCCAAGCTCGTGCTGAAGCGCGCCTTCAAGGCCGGCGTGCCCCTCGAGCTGCCCGAGGCCGAGGCGCTCGCGCTCGAGGAGGTCATGCTCAAGCGGACGCGCGACGAGGAGCGCCAGGTCGACATCGAGCGCACGCTCGCCGCCGACGACCACTACGCGGCCATCGCCGCGCGGGAGCGCGAGGAGCGCGAGGAGCGCGAGCGCAACATCGAGCGCGTGCAGAACAACGCGTCGCGCGCGATCCAGAAGCAGTGGGAGCTCCACCTCAGCCGCCTCGAGCTCCGGAAGCGCGCCTTCGAGCGCTACGACAAGCGCTACGACATCGACCTGCGCGCCTTCTACTACGTCAACCGGCGGACGTCCGAGCCCCAGTGGAAGAAGCCCTACGCGCTCGGCGCCTTCGACATCAAGCTCAAGGACGAGTGGGTCGTGCTCCACGACGAGACGCGGGAGCCCTACTACTACAACCCCCAGTCCCAGGCCATGTCCTGGCAGCGGCCCGCGGGCACCTGCTTCTGCGCGGGCTGCGACGCGCAGTTCTGCGCCGTCGTGTGCAACGACACGAACCGGAAGCTCTGCATGGACTGCTACAACGCGACGCACGCGGAGAAGAGCGAGGACGAGTTCAACGCGCTGACCTTCAAGATCCTGAAGGGCGGCGACCCGGAGAGCGGCCGCGCGGACATCCAGGCCCTCGAGGACACGGGGAAGCGGCTCGAGGAGGAGCGCGCGAAGCAGGAGGAGGAGGCCCGCGTCGCCCGGCGCCAGTCCGTGCGCCGCCAGTCGTCGCTGGGCCGCCAGTCCGCCGTCGGCGCCGAGCTCGCCAAGCTCAAGAGCCGCCAGTCTTTAGCGGCGGGCACGCCCGAGGCCGACGCGCTCGCCGAGGTCCTCGCGGGCCGCGCGGAGCCCGACGAGGGCGAGGAGATGCTCGACCGCACGCAGCGCGAGACGTCCGAGCTCATGGCCATCGTCGAGGAGCGCGCGCGCCGGCGCGCGCGCCGCGACGCGGGCGAGGCCGACGAGGACCCCGCGGGCAAGCGGCCCATGCTCGAGTACCGCAAGGCCCGGCGGAGGCCCAGCGAGCTCCTGCGCATCGCCAACGGCGAGCCCGACGACGCGACGACGGCCACGGGCAACGAGGACAAGTCCCTCGTGCCCTCGACGATCACGGGCGGCGAGTCCCTCGACGCGCCGGGCGACTCGCTCGCGTCGTCGCTCATCGACGCGCTCGACTCGTTCCCGGACCCGCCGTCCGAGGACGGGGGAGGCGTCAAGCCGCCGCGGCCGTCGTAAAGGTCGTCCGTGTGACGCGGGGCGCCAGGCGGTGGGGGGAAGGGCGCGGCGCGCCGGCGGGGAGTCCCGCGCGCGCGACCTGATCTCCGGCCTCGCGTACGCCGGCGGCGCCTGGAAGGCCGCCGCGCAATCCCTCTCCCGCCAACTCGAAGAGGGCGCGCGCCGCCTCGCGGTTACCGCGCCGCCCTCGCCACCCTCACGACCAACCTCCGCCGCGACGGCGAGTCGGCGGCCTCGCGTCGCCGGCGGGCTCGGTTCGAAGAGCCACCCCGCGACCCCCCCCCCCCCCACCAGATAAGCAGCCATCTATCATTCGGCCGGAATCCCCTGGGCGGGGGCGAAATCCCCGTGGGGGGCAGAGGTGGGCGAGCAGCGCGTCGACCATGTGCATCTGCAGATTCGCCGACGGGTGGATCGCGCGTCGTCGAACCAGCCTTCGCCGCCTTTGTTCCAGTCTTGATGGTATCTGCGCACGTAGCGTGGCTCGCCCTTGAAGGCCGGCTTGATCTCCTCGTAGATGAAGCCCTTCGGATTGCTCCGCAGGCGCGCGACCCCCGCCATCTCGGCGCCCGCGTCCGTGATCGCCCAGTTGTCCCAGTACGAGACGTCGGCCGCCCCATCGCGTTCCGCGAGGGACGCCCGCGGGAGCTGCTCCGCGAGGGCCGTGGTTAGCGCGTCGCGGTAGAGTCCCGCGACCTGCCCGAGCTCGTCGTTCATGTCGCTCCGTCGCACGTCGGTGCTGATGGCGTTGAACATGGCCGTCGGACCCGCGAAGACGACCCGCGGCGGCTCGCGCGAGCCGAGGAGACGGCGCGCGGCGGCGGCGAGCGAGGACGGTATGCTGCCATGGGAGCCGCGCTTGTAGATCGATCCCCGCGCAACCCCGTCCTCCGCTTTCCCGTTGAGCTCCATTGCCATGAAGATGCTCATCCCAGCGACGACGACGTCGTACTCCTCGGGTCGTAGCTCCATCAGCTTCGGAGGAATCTGATATAGCTTACCCGACCACGAAAAAACGATGCTCGCGTCCAAGTCGGGGATCAGCATTCGACAGCTGTAGAAGTGTTTGTTCAAATTGGTCTCCAGGTTATCCTCCTTCGGGCACATCTCCATCTGCTTCTCGCGCGGCGGAAGGAACGACCACCCGGAACCGTTGCCCGAAGCGCCGACGTGGCTCCCGTGGACCAGGAGCTCGCGGAGCGCGAACGCCGTGCCCCTCGTGACTGAGTTCCCGACGAGGTAGAGGCGCTTCCCGCGGAGGCACCGGCGCGCGCGCTCGCGGTCGAATTCGGGCGCCGCGCAGCCAGGGCCACACAAGGGGCCGACGGGTGCGGGTCAGGGTTCTTGGCCGACGGAGCCCCGCACCTTTACCCTCACCCTCCGGTCCGAAACCCTTACCCGCACCCGTTATCACGGGTCCTGGGAATTTGGGCACCCTTACCCTTACCCGCGGGTGGCACCCTACCAAAATCCTCTAATTTAAAAAAAAAATATATGGAAACCGCCGAATTTGGATTCGGACGCGCAAATTAAGCTGCTTTTGGATCGACCCGACAACCTGGCAGCTGCATTACACGCCCTCGAACGGAAATCAGGAGGTCGGCCAGGCGCGGGACACCCTCGAGGGTAAGGGGCGTCCCTCGCACCCGTGGCTTTTCGTCGGTACCCGCACCCGTACCCGAGCCAAGGGTTCTGGGAATTTGGCGGCCCCTCACCCTTACCCTCCCGAGGGTTTCGCGGGTTCTCGGGTCGGCCCCTCGCCCTTGTGTGGCCCTGCGCGCAGCGCGGAGCGACCGCGCCGTCGGGTCCGACGACGTTTCGCTCGTCGTAGGCGTAGGCGTACTCGGACGCGTCGGCGCGGTCGATGATGCTATTATAGATCGAGCGATTGTTGATGCGCGTCGTCTCGAGGAGCGCCTTCGTCCGGCTTCCGTTGCGGAGCTTGAAGGTGCCCGTCCCCGCGTCCGTGCAGTAGGGTACGCCGCCGGCGAGGGAAACGACGACCGGTAGCCAGAGGACGGCGCACATCGCTTGTTGGGCGGACATCCTCATGCCCGCACCGTCGCTTTTGTCAGCAAGTGTTCAGCGATCCGATGCCGGCGATGGCCGATGGTAGGTACGCGAGACGCCCAGCCCCCCGGGGGTCGAGCCGGGCTGATCTCCGCAGACGGCCTCCTCGGACCAAGGGGCTGCGAGACGCCGCGCGACGAATGAGACGAACTTCTAGGAGCCCCGGCCGCACCCCTGCGCCCCCCCCGCCTAGGTCGGCGAGGGCATGGTCCACTCGTCGGCGACGGGCCCGACGTCGTGGATGATCTCGCGGTGGGAGGACCAGCAGAGGCGGATGGCCTCGGGCGTGTGGATGCCCGCGGAGCGGGGGTCGCCCGCGGGGCCGAACCAGTGGTTCTGGGGCGCGCCCGTCGTCCGCGCGCGGACGCCGCTGTACGTGGTGCCGTTGACCGTCGCGCCGAGGACCTTGTTGCAGAAGCGCGTGTCGTTGGAGACGACGGCGGCCGTGAGGTGGCTCGTCATGCGCTCGCAGGCCTCGAGGACCTTGTCGATCTCGTCGTCCTTGTAGGGCACCAAGATCTGGAAGGGCCCGAACAGCTCCGTCGTCACGGCGTCGAAGTTCTCCTGGGACGCGAGCATGGTGTCGAGGGGCACCTCGACGGCCGTCGGCACGAGGCCGCCGTAGCACGCCGGGAAGGCCTCGCTGCCCGGGAGCTTGGACCCGCCGAAGGCGACCTTGGCGCCCGGCAGGGCCGCCGTGCGCTCGACGTGCGCGAGCATCTGGTCCGTCGTCCACGAGAGCACGGGGCCCGAGCTGTAGTCCGCGAGCGACCGGCGCGCGGCCTGCCGCTCGAGCTTGCCCACGAGGCCCGCCGCGACCCAGTTCTCGTGCATGAAGCAGATGGACTGCGCGGAGCACTTCTGGCCGCTGAAGGCGTAGGCGTCCTGGTCCGCCTGCCAGACCACAAAGTCCTCGTCCTGGACGTCCGGCCCCATGATCTTCCAGTCGAAGCCCGCGTCCTCGAGCTTGACGCGGCCGCGGAGGTCGATGGTGAGCTTCTCCGCGACGGCCTGGGACCCCGTGAACAGGGTCATCTTCGAGTCGCCGGCGAGGAGCAGCTCGTTGAACGTCGGGCCGTCGCAGTAGATGAGGTCGAGGCACTTGGGGTCGAGGCCGCAGTGGATCATGAGCCGCGCGAACTGCTCGTAGACGATCTGGACCTTCTCGTCGACCTTGACCGTGCACTTGTTGCCCATCCAGACCGACGACAGCGACTGGAGCGCGGGGATCTCGAGGGGGAAGTTGAAGGGCGTGATGACGGACGTCGGGCCGTAGGGCCAGCGGTAGGACCGCGTCTCCTGGCCCGCGTGGTCGCCCGGGAGCGCCGCGCTGTTGGCCAGGCGCCGGACGCCGTCGCCCGCGTAGCCGTCGAGCCACTTGCGGACGACCGTGACCTCGCCCATGGCCTGGACGTCGTGCTTGGGCACGACGCGCTGCAGCAGCTCCGCGAAGAAGTTGTGCACCTCCGGCTTACGGAGCTCGACGGACGCGCGGCCGTTGACCTCGCCCATCTCGAAGTAGGCGCCGGGGTTGTTGATCGGGTTGTGGAGCCCGCTCTTGGGCACGGCCTTCATGGACGCGACGAAGGGCGCGAGCTCGGACGGCCGCGTGTCCGGCACGAAGAGCATCGCCTCGCCGTTGAGCGGGTCCGGCACGGGCTTCGTCGCCGCGGCGGCACTCCACTCGCCGTCGACGAGGTTCATGCCCTGCTGCGGGCTGGCGCCGGACATGGCCCAGGGGTCCACGGTCGCCCAGGACGGCAGCGGGCCCGACTGGAACGTGCGGATCTGCGCGCGGCCGCGCTGGAGGAAGGAGCGCATCATCGTCGAGCGTCGGTGTTACGAGGATACCTGCGCGGTCGCAGGCGGTTCGGAGAGCTTTGGACGAGCGTTGGAGACGCGGAGGCGCCGCACCGCTGGCGGTGTCGCGTGCAGCAGAGCCGGCCTATCGGAGCTCGTCTTCGCCGAATGCCACAAGAATCACAGCCGCCGCCAAGACCGGTCGACGGGGCATGAGCCCCTCGACGTCGTTGTCCGCGCGCGCATAATACACGCCTACCCGCTCGTCGACGCGCCGCGTTCCGATGGCCTCGCTCGAGCGCGTCGTCCTGACGTCCGAGAGCGTCTTCGCGACCGTCGCGCACGCGCTGTCGACGGAGCGGCAGGAGGTCATGGGCCTGCTCTTCGGCCGGTGGGACGGCGCGGCCGTGGAGGTCGAGTCCGTCATGCCCCTGCCGCGCCTCGACAAGCGCAGCGACCGCGTCGAGGTCACGGGCCCGCAGCTCGCCGAGGCCGCGCAGGTCGCCGAGTCGCTGGGGCTTCGCGTCGTCGGCTGGTACCACAGCCACCCGCACATCACCGTGCAGGCGTCGCACGTCGACGTGCGGACGCAGGCGCAGTACCAGGCGCTCGACGGCCGCTTCTTCGGCCTGATCTGCGCCTGCTTCCAGGGCGCCGACGGCGCGGGCGCCGCGGCGCCGCTCCACGGCCTCGCGGCGCCGAGCCTCCGCCCCGCGGCGTTCCAGTCCGTCGACGACGCGCGCGTGCCCGGCGCCTTCGCGCGCCCGCTCGCCGCGCCCGCCGCCGCGCCGCCGGCCTACGCCGCCGTCGTCGCCGGCGGCGGCGCGCCGCCGTCCTACGACGACGTCGTCGCCGCGCGCGCGCCGCCGCCGCCGCCCGCGCCCGCGCCGGCCGCGGCGCCGCCGCCGCAGTGGCGCGCGCGCGACATCCCCATCGCCGTGCGCCGCGGCGGCGGGCCCCGGAGCCTGCGGCGCGCGCTCGAGACGCTCGCGGCGCTCCAGGACGCGCTCTTCCGCGAGGAGGCCGACGCGCGGCGCGCCCAGGCGGGGCTCGGGGGCGGCGCGACCCGCGGCGCCTACGCGGACGCGATCTTCCACAAGGCCGCCGCGCTCCTCGCCGCGGACGCGCTCCACCCCCTCATCCACGTCGCCGCCGCGTCCAAGGCGAACCTCGCCGCGCGCCTCGACGCCGCGAAGGCCGCGCGGTCCAAGCTCCTCGCGCGGCTCGAGGATGATAGCGCGGGGTAACACGGTGTTTTTTACCTCGGCGGGCGGATGGCGAGGACCTTGACGTCGAACATGACCTTGCCGACGAGGTCCGCGCCGAGCGCCGCGGCCTCGCGGCTCCGCCGGTTGTCGTTGAGCACCGTGGAGTAGAGGCGCTGCTGGAACGCGAAGGACCGCGGGATCGGCTCCTGGCTCCGGTCCGCGTAGGCCAGCGCGCTGGGGACGACGATGCGCCGCACGCCGCCGACGCGCATGCCCTGGAGCCCGGCCTCGAGGCCCTCGATGACGTCGCCGCGGCCGAGGCTCAGGCGGTACGGGTCGTCGTCGTCCCTCGTGTTCTCGAAGGTCCAGCCCTGGCGGCCGACGAGGCGCCCGACGAGGTCGACGGTCACGCGGCTGTCCTTGCCGACGACGGCGTCGCCGCGGCCGGGCGACACGTCGGCGTACTGGACGCCGCCCTGCTCCTTGAACTCGAGGCCGTCCGGCGACACGGCAGCGGTGGGTGTGGGCGCGAATGCTGTCGCGGGAAGGAGCGCGACGACGCCGCGCCGCGCGGAGCTTTCGACGGCCGATCTTCGTACGGCCAGCGCGCGGACGCTCGAGGCCTGCAGCGCGACGAGAAAGAGAGCGCGAGTCGCTTGCGACGCGCTCATCATCGTCGTCAACGCGATTGTTCCCTTTGCCTTCAATTTTGCTTGTGGCAATTATTTTTTTGCTTGGCAGCACGGCGCGGGCGCGACGACGTCGACGGAGGCGCTGCGCGCCGGCCGACGCCGCAGCGAGCCATGCCCAACGACTTCCTGCACCCGCCGGAGCCGGACCCGCAGCGCGACGCGACGGACAAGGAGCTGCTCGTGACCGTCGAGGAATGGGAGGAGGAGTCCTACACGGAGGCCCAAAAGATGCGCGTGCGGCGCGGGGACATCTTCGAGACGCGGCTCAAGGCGTCGAAGCACCTGCGCGGCCTCGCCAACGCCCACTTCACCCGGGGCGACACGGAGGCGGCGCTCGTCGTCTACGACCGGGCGTGGTGGCACGCGGATTTCGACACGGGCTTCATCAAGCTGGAGATGACGGACCACCACCAGGAGGAGCTCTTCAAGGTGACGATCCCCATCCGCTTCAACCTCGCCCAGTGCCTGATGGCGAAGCGCGCGCGCCTCGCGGCGGACGCGGCCGCGGCGAAGGCGGCCGTCAAGGCCGCGGCCGAGGCCGAGGCGAAGCGCGAGGCCAAGGCCGCGAAGAAGCGCGGCACGCCCGACGAGGCCGTCGCCGTCGCCGACGTCGTCGCCGAGGACGACGACGTCGAGACCGTCGAGGCGGCCGGCGACGACGACGACAAGCCGGCGCCCCGCGAGTACCTGAGCGAGGCGCGCGGCCACATCGACGCCGCGCTCGAGTCCCTCGACGGCTTCCCGGAGCTCGCCGACGCCTGGAAGGTCAAGGGCCTCTACCTCCGGTCCAAGTGCAAGCGCGAGGTCGGCCTCTACGACGACTGCGCCAAGGACCTCGCGGAGGCCATCCGCCTCGCGCCGAACGACCGCAAGCTGCGCGCCGCGCTCGACGAGGTCCGCGGCGAGAAGAAGGAGACGCGGGGCGCCGAGAAGGACCGCATGGACGGCAAGCTCGGGCCCGTGAAGAAGGGGCCGAGCTGCGTCGTGTCGTAAATGTTCGACCATGCGAGGGCGTGCGGCAGTGGGTTGCAGCTCTCGAGGCTTCGAGGTGGTCCGGCGCGTCGCCCAGCCGCAGCGACCGCTTCTCCCAGCACCGCGTCGTCCAGCGCGTCGTCTGGCCACAGCGCGACCGCGTCGCATCCTCTCCGCAAGACCGCAACTGCTCGTGTCCAGCGCGTCGCCCGCAGCGCGACCGCTTCGCGCGCTCTGCCAGCACCGCGTCCGCGTCGCATCCTCTCCGCAAGACCGCAACTGCTCGCGCCGACCTCTCGAAGCATGACGCTCCTTCTGCTCTGGTGCGGCGCCGCCGTGGCCCTGCAGCGGCCGCTCGCCGCGCGGCGCGCCGTCGCGCGGCGCGCGTCGGACGACGGCGTCGTCGGCCCGGGCCGCATGCCCGTCGACGAGGGCGCCATCTCGGCGCACGAGTTCTCGCGGAGCTTCAACGCGGCGCCGCTCGGCGCGCCCTCGACGGAGGAGGAGCTGACGGACCTGCAGAAGCAGGTGCTCCTCCGCAAGAGCACGGAGCCCCAGGGCCACTCGGAGCGGCCCGGCGGCCTCGAGCACGAGTTGCAGCGAGCGCACGGCACGAAGTATCCGCAGCGCGGCGCGTTCCTCTGCGTCCAGTGCGGGACGCCGCTCTACTGGGCGCGGAGCAAGTTCGGCTCCGGCAGCGGGTGGCCCGCGTTCTACGACGCCGTCGACGGCGCCGTGGAGCGCGTCGCCGAGTCGCAGCAGGACCCGCTCTCGAGCGAGCTCAAGCAGCACGGCACGGAGCTGGTCTGTTCCAACTGCGGCGGCCATCTCGGCCACGTCTTCGAGGGCGAGGGCTTCGGCACGCCGACGGACGAGCGCCACTGCGTCAACGGCGTCTGCCTGCGCTACGACGCGGCGACGCCGGGCCAGCCCGACGACGTCGCGCGCCAGTTCCATCTCACGCTCGCGCCGATCCCAGACTAGGATAAGCGCCTGTCAAAAAATATATCCCGCCGGCGGCCCGGGGATATGCTAATCCGACGCTGACGCCGACGCTGACGCCGACGCTGAATCCGACGGCGGGATATGTTATGCGGCGACGTTCTCAGTACGTCCCCATTGTGCGAGTACTGCGACGTATTACAGAGTACAGGGGGGCGCGCGGACCAGTGTCGGCCGGCGGCGGCGTCGCCGGAGGCGCGGCCTCGGCGACGCGGCTTCGTCGCGGCGTCGAGTCCTCTCAGAGGACGAAGGGCGGCACGGGCCCGTCAAAGTGCTTGTGGTCCGCGACGGAGCTCGGCGACATGAGGAGCTTGACCTCGTCCTGCTTGAGGACCTCGCCGTTCGGCGAGCCGATCATCTGCGCCGGCAGCTCGCCGTCGGACGCGACGCGCGCGTCGCGGTTGATGATGCTGTCGCGCTTCTTGATGGCCGACAGGGACCGGCGCCGCTTGCTGTCGCCGCCCTCGATGAGGAGCACGTCGGCCTGGTCGAGGCAGTGGCCGCTCGACGACGCGATGATGCGCTTCGCCGGCTCGGGCGCGGCGTTCTTGTTGAACTTCGCGTTGACGCGGCCCTGCATGGACAGGCTCCGGCGCCGCGCGTGGAGGTCGCTGTCCTCGATGAGCAGCACGGCCGTCTGATTGAGGCACGTGCCACTGCCCGAGGCGACGATGCGCGGCGTCGGCTCGGACTGGCGCCGCCGCGGGTCCTTGTCCTTGATGAGGTGCTTGAGCTGGAACATGAGGTCCTCGCAGTCGTCGCGCGAGAACGGGATGGGCGAGGAGGCGGGCATTGGGCTCGGTGTGTGTCGTGCCGCGGCTTGACGTCTCAGAACACGCAAAATGCTTCGGAGAGCACCCGCTCCCTGACCCGCTCTTCAAGATCGAGATCGGCGGGCTGCGCCGCGGGCTACGCGGGCTAAGCGGGGGGGCGGACTTGGCGTTCGCCAGCTCGTCCGCATTCTCGCGCTCCACTCGCCGCAGCGTCTCGGGAGACGTGGGACGAAGAGCGGACGCGTCGACGCGCGGCCGGGCGCGGGCTGGCTGCGGTCTTACCCGGCCGCGACGGCACTGCGTCGAAGTTCTTCGGGATCAAGGAGGTGCCGCCGCCATGCGCGGCGAGCGCTCGTGCCTCGGTCTGTGGAAGCTGGAGATCGCGACCGGCAGGCCTCGAATCTAAGCTTCGACTTGTGAGGAGCGCTGCAACATCCCTTCATCACTGGCCCTCTCCCAAGCTCTTCTCCCGACCTAGTTTCAAACGATGGCCGACAAGCGCGACGACGACTCGGAGTCTGAAGACGATGGCGACTTCGTCGACGCCGGGAGCGGCGGGGAGGAGGACAGCGACAGCGGTTCCGACGACGAGGAAGACGGCGCGGGCGCCGGCGAGGGCGAGGCCAAGGCGAAGAAGGCCAAGCGCAAGCGCGACGACGACGACAGCGACTCGTCGGACGACAGCGACAGCGACGACGACGGCGCGGACTGCGGCATCGACGCCTCCGAGCTCAAGGACATCGCGACGAAGGTCGTGCCGCGCGCGAAGCGGCGGGCGGCGATCGCCTCGGGCATCGGCGACCAGGCCGCGCTCGAGGACGTGAAGAACGCCGAGCCCGACGAGGACTCGGAGGCCGAGTTCGAGTTCTAGGCCGCCGCGAATCCGAAAAGCCGCCGACCGCGCGGACCGCGCGCCGCGGCGCTCGACCGTCCGTCGCCCGCGCCGCGCCGCGCGGCGCACTAACTCCGGCCTTCGTCCGTCTCTGTTGCGATTCCTGCTTGTCGTAGCGCCTTGTGTTGTCAGCGGTAGCGTACTGGGGAACGGCGGCGTTCGCAGTTGCGACGCGGCGCGATGGCGCGATGAGCGACGAACTCCTCTCCTTAGTCGTCACCTCGTCGTCTCCAAGGGCCGCCGCGGCGACGCGTCGACGACCATCCGGCCGGCGACGCGACCATCACCCTCGGAAGGCCCCCCTGCAACGATGCTTCTAAGATGCTTCAAGAACTCAGAAAGTTGCCCAATTTAGAGAGCAAAAGCAAGGGGCTGGTGGTCGACGCGAGCATGTCCCAGCGCCTGTCCGGCAAGAAGGCGGTGCGCCGGTCCATGACGGCGGCGCGGCGCCGGGGCCGGACGTCGGTGCTGCTGAACCTGGACTGGGACAACAACGAGGCCTTCTCCATGGAGCTGGACCTCGCGTCCTGCGGGCGCGCGGAGATCATCGAGGCGCTCAAGGGGACGTCGGTGCGCGGCGGGTGCCGCGGGCGGGGCATGCTGAGCACGGAACAGATGCGCGAGAAGGCGGCGACGCTGGGCGTGCACCACGTGAAGCTCAGGGGCCTGCAGGCGCTCCGGTACCGGGCCGGCGTCGTCGTCCAGTACCTCGCGCGCCTCGAGGGCAGCGTCGGGCCCGGCGCGATGGCCGGGCTGGCCCTGGCGCGGCGCACGTCCTGGACCATGGTCGCCAAGGCCCCGCGGGGCGGCCCCGTGACCGTCGGCTCCGTCGTGAGCGCGATCGACGGCGAATCCGTGCTCCTCGACTCGTACGAGGAGACGCAGGCCAAGCTCGCGTCGGCGGACCGCATCACCTTCCGCCGCGCGCCCTTCCACCAGGGCTGGACCCGCGTCGACTCCGAGGCCATGGAGCCGGCGGTCTGCTACCTCGTGCTCGCGTACGGCGTCGTCGCGTACTTCGACCGCGAGAAGGCGCCCCGGACGCGCCTGGGCCTCATGCCCCTCGCCGGCGCGTCCGTGCAGCCCACGCCCTGCGGCGGCGCGCTCCTCCTCAAGCACCCGACCCACGGCACGCTCGAGCTGGCCCCGCCCCACGAGCACCGCGCGGAGTGGGCGCCCTTCGTGCCCGCGATTGACCTCGCGGCCGTCGGGGCGGGAATCGAATCTTCAAGCCGACTTCGATGTTCGACCGTTTCCACACGAGGCCTTCGGCTGTGCTTCGAGAATTCGCCGAGAGCGATCGATTCGTCCAAACATCAGCCGAATCGACATCGATTTGACAGAGTTAGAGAGGTTTGAAGTTCTGCTAGACGGGTCCAGCTCACCGGTCGATTTCCACACAGGCGGCCGTGCTCTGCGTCTCCGTGTCCCACGCCAACGGCGACAGCGACGTGCGGGCCCTGGAGATGCTCCGCACGGAGAGCGCGAAGCAGCTCTCGCTCAACGGCGGCGACGACGCGTGCGCGCGCGGTCCCGCGTTTCTCTCGCCGTCCGCGGCGGAACCCGACGCGCGCGCGCGCAGGTTCGTGGCCGCGCTGAACACGACGTGCCGGCTCAGCGAGGCGTGGGCCGCGCCGAGCGGCGGGGCGCCCGCGGGCGACGGCGACGACTCCGACGAGCTCGAGGACAGCGACGACGACGACGACGACGAGGGCGCGCACCTCTTCGGGATGGACGGCCTGTCGCTCGTCGCCGGCTGGGAGACGATGCGCGACGAGGCCGAGGCCGCGCCGTCGGGCGGCGTCAAGCGCGCGCCGTCGCGCGGCAGCATCCTCTTCTCCGACTTCACGAGCACGGGCGCCATGGCCCTCCCGCCGGACCTCGCCGCGCTCGCCGAGGACGACGGCGGCGCCGCCGCGCCGCCGCCGGCCGTTGTCACGCCCGCGGCGCCCGCGCGCGCGGCCGCCGGCGCCGCGCCCGTCGTCACGCCCGCGTCGCCGGGCCGCGCGTCGATCGCCCTCGACGCCCCGGCGCCGTCGCGCGCGTCCATCAAGCTCGGCGCGCCGCCGCCGCCGCCGCCCGCGGCGACGCCGCGCGTGTCCACGCTCCGCCTCGACGTGCCGTCGCCGCCGTCGTCGAACGCGTCGACGCCGCGCACGAGCACCTTTCGCCTCGACGTCACGCCGCCGTCGAACGCCTTCTCGCCGACGGCGGCGCGCATCTCCCTCGACTGCTCGCCCGCTACGTCGCCCGCGACGTCGCCGAAGGCCAAGGCGGGCATCAAGCTCGACATCTCGCCGACGACGTCGCCCACGGCCGCGAAGCGGAAGCCCACGGTCGCGCGCGTCTCCCTCGGCATCCCCGCCCCGAAGGCCAAGTGAGCCCGCGGGCCCGGAGCCCCGTCGCGGCCAATTTTTTATAAACTTCAAGCGCGTGGGTTGAACCACTTCGAGGCTGCCCACCTTCCTCGGGCGCAACATCCCGCCGGTCCGTGTCGGGTCTCGGCGTCGGCCGCGCGCGGGGAGCGGTCCGACGGATGCGGTCCGACGGGTTCGCCGTCCCGTGACCGCTCCGCGCCGCCGATCCGACCATCGGACCTCGCCGGAGCGCCCGGGCGATGGGCAACGGGGGCAGCGTGCCCAAGCCCTTCGGCCCCGACGCCGCCATGGTGTTGAAGAAGGAGGTGCTCAAGGATCCGGCGCGCGTGCCGGAGACGGAGCAGGCCGTCTTCGCCGCGGGCTGCTTCTGGGGCGTCCAGCTCGCGTTCCAGCGCGTGCCCGGCGTCGTGAGGACCACCGTCGGCTACACGATGGGCCGCTTCAGCAACCCGACCTACGAGGAGGTCTGCTCCGGCGTCACGGGCCACACGGAGGCCGTGCACGTCGTCTTCAGGAAGGCCGAGATCTCCTACGAGGAGCTGCTGACCGTGCTCTGGGATCGTGCGTCGCCTCGTCCCGAGCCGACGGACCTACTAGTATAACCGCCGCGCCCGCGCAGGCATGGACCCGACGGCCAAGGACCACCAGGGCAACGACTACGGTACGCAGTACCGCTCCGGCATCTACTTCCTCACGAACGAGCAGAAGGCCATCGCCCTCAAGTCCAAGGCCAAGATCCAGGAGAAGTACTCCGCGGAGATCGCGACGGAGGTCCTCCCCGCGCAGCACTTCTGGCCCGCGGAGGACTACCACCAGCACTACCTCGCCAAGCTCGGCCAGAGCCACGAGAAGGGCGTCTGCACGGCCATCCGCTGCTACGGCTGAGGTAGCTCTTCGTAAACTGAAGGCACGTTGCTCTCTCGGGGCTGCAATGATGATGGCGATCCGTGTTCTGGCATGCATGCTCGTCACGGCCGTTGCAGCGGCGACGTCGCCGATCGGGCTCGACGTCGACTTTCCCGCGTTCCTGGCGCGGAGCGATCCGACGTGGCGCTGGGGCAGCTCGGCGGCGAACAGGACGCGGCGCCCCGAGGAGTGGGTCGAGAGTTTGTTCGGCGGCAACGGCGACCTGGGCTTCATGCTCTGGAGCCCGGAGCCGGCCCTCCTCCGGCTCGAGGTCTCGAAGAAGTCGCTCTGGGACGACCGCACGCCGGACCTCGTGACGCCGCCGTCCGTGCTCGCGCGGAACAAGACGTACTACACGAACGACTTTGTCCACGACCAGCCGCGGCTGCCGAGCGGCCACTTCGAGCTCACCTGGGGCTCGAAGGACGAGGCGCCGATCCTCGCCGTCGGGCGCGTGGACCTGCACGCCGCGCGCGCGGCGCTGGACGTGACGACGACGGCCTCCGGCGGCGGCTTCGGCGTCGGCATCTGGGCGTCCGCGGCCTACGACGTCGCGGACGTCGTCGTCGTCGAGACCTGGGGCGTCGGGGACGGCGACGCGCCCGACATGGTCTGGGTGCCCGCGGACCTGACCCGGGAGCGCTGCTCGCGCTGCCTCGGCGATCCGCCGTTCGAGCGGGCGAACGCGTCGTCGCTCCCCGGCGGCGGCGACCTCGACGTCGTCGTCCAGCCGCACCTGCCGGCCAAGGGGACCGCCCACGCGACGGCCATCGCGCGCGTCCAGGCCGAAAACGGGACGACGGTCCGCGTCGTCGCGCTGTCGAGCGTCCGCGCGTCGCGCGCGGCCGCGGCCGCGGCCGCGGCCGCGGAGGCGACCAAGGCGGTGGCGGCGGGCCCGACGGGCGCGCTGCGGGCGGCGCACGAGGCGTGGTGGGCGGCGTGGTGGCCCGCGGGCGGGTGGGTGACCCTGGACCACTCGCGGCTCGAGGCGTTCTGGTACGTCCAGCTCTTCAAGTTCGCGAGCGGCGCGCGCGAGGGCCGGGGCGTCCACGACCTCCTCGGCCCCTGGTACGTGGAGGGCACGCCGTGGCCCGACGTCCACTGGGATCTGAACATCCAGCAGACCTACTACTTCCCGATCGAGGCGAACCGGCCCGGCCTGAGCCGGACGCTCCCGGACTACGTCGAGCGGCTCTCGAACGCGGGGAACCTCGCCTCGAACGCGCCGCCCGCGTGGCGCCACGACAGCGCGGCGGCGCCCAACGGCGCGAGCTCGCTGTCGGGCAACGAGACCTGCAATTGGGATCCCGTCGTGTCGCCGGACGGCGCGTGCTCGACGCAGCCGCCGACGGCGGTCGGCAACCTGCTCTGGACGCTCGAGCTCGTGGATCGGCACGCGAGCGCCTACGGCAACGAGACGTTGGCGACGGAGGTGCTTTGCCCCCTCCTCGACCGCGCGCTCCAATTCTACGCGCACTTCCAAGTCGACGACGGGGCGACGATCCACCTCCCGCCGACGTTCTCGCCCGAGTACCCCGGCGCCGTTGGCGCGGACGCGAACTACGACGTCGCGCTCTACCGCTGGGGCCTCGCGACGGCCCTGGAACGCGGCTGCGGCGGTCCCCGCGCGGCGGCCTGGCGCGAGACGCTCGAGCGCCTCACGTGGTTCCCCATCGACGACGCGACGGACACGCTCGAGATCTACGCGGGCGTGCCCTACGGGACGCCGCACCGCCACTACTCGCACCTCATGTCCATCTGGCCCCTCGGGCTCCTCGACCTGAACAACGCGTCGCAGCTCGCGACGGCGCGGAGCTCCGTGGACCTGTGGCTCGCGACGCCCGAGGAGGACTCCATGTTCTATCGGCCCGCCGCGTCGGCCATGAACGTGCTCATGGGCCAGAACGCCGCGGCCTTCGACAACGTGACCTACCTCCTCGACCGCCGCGTCGAGGGCTCGACGTGGTACCGCGAGGGCGCCGCGGGCTCCTGCACGGAGACGCCCTACGCGGCCGCGTGGGCCGTGGGCAACTGGTTCCTGGACGCGCGCGACGGCGTCGTCGCCGTCTTCCCCGGGATCGACGACGTCGTCCGCCTCGACGCCGGCGACTACGCCGCCGCGCCCGCGCGCGCCGCGACGGCCCAATTCTACCGCCTCGCGACGCGGACGGGCGCCGTCGTATCCGGCAAGCGCGAGCTGGTCTCGAGCAACGCGACGCACTTCGTCACCCGGACGGCGCTCGTCGCCGTCGAGGCGCCGGCCTGGAAATCCTCGGGCGCCTTCCGCGTCCGGATGAGCCTGGCGCGCCCTTTGGCGATCAGGGGCGCCGCGACCTTCGAGGAGATCGGCGGGGAAATTGTGGAGATCGCGGGCCTCGCGCCGTCCGAAACCGCCGCCCTCTACTCGGCGCGGGCGCCGCCGGCGACCTTCGCGTTCTCGCCCCTCGCCGGCTGCCCCGCGGAGTTCAACCACTGGGGGATGGTGCCGCAATCCGGCGGTGGGCCGTGTCCCCTGCCCGTTAACTAGGGGCGGCCTCAGTCCGCGGGGCAAATCTGCTGAGCGACCCTGGAGGGTGCACGTCAAGGACACCTCTCTCTCTCCACCGCTTGAGCTCTCCGATCGGCCGAACAACACGATCACAACACGATCAGAAGGCGGCGTGTGGAGCGCCTTGACGCCCCAGCCCACCACGCCCTGACACTAGCACGCCAACAGCCTACCACCATGCTCGACCCGAAGCGCCAGCTGAGCGTCATGTTCGGCGCGCCTGTAACCTGCGTGTCGCCCATCCAGCGCCCGCGCATCGAGTCGTTCGACAAGACCGAGCCGAAGCGCCCGCGCGTCCAGTCCTTCGACACCGACGGCCGCCGCGAGGGCCTCGAGCTCCACGAGGGCCTCTACGACGGCCTGCCGCCGCCGAAGAACCGCAAGGTGCCCGTCGTGACGCCGAAGGTCCCCGTCATGGCCGCGATGCCCGAGGTCAAGCGGCCGCCCATGCTACGCCTCGACGACGACGAGCCCGTATCGCGACCGACGCTCGCCGTGCCGCCGCCCCCGCCGCCGCCGCGCTGCGGCGAGTGCGGCGACGACATCGACGCCATGACGGATTTGGCCATGACGCGCTGCCGCGGCAGCGTCGGGTGTGCGAATTTCATCTGCGACGGCTGCCACGAGCAATCCCGCAAGGGCCAGCTCAGAAAGCTCGCTCCCGCTCTTCGCGACTCCTGCGCATCGCCGCGCGGCCAGGCCTCGTTCCGCGCGCTCCTCCAGGAGTCCTGGTCCGGCGGCCGCGTCTGCGAGGCGTGCCTCGACAAGCTCGAGAAGCGCCTCGACGAGGACGCCGACGACGAGTAGGCTCGCGCGCTCCTTAAGTACCCCTTTCGCCCTTACGAACGACCTTACTTGCCTGCAGAGGAGCGTCGCGGCCGCGCGGGAGACGTTGGCGCTGTCGAGCGCGAGCGCGCCGGCCTTGATCTTGTCGTGGAGCTCGCAGATGGACGCTTCGACGGTGCCGTTGACGACGAACTTCTTGATGAGGACGTCGCTGGACTGGCCGAGGCGGTGGATGCGCCCCGCGGCCTGGACCTCGTCGGCGGGGTCGACGCAGGGCCCGAGGAGGTAGACGACGTCCGCGGCCGTGAGCGTGATGCCGACGGAGCCCGCGCGCATGGTGATGACGAAGATGCGGTCCGGTGGGCCCTCGTCGGCCTGGAACTCGCGGATGGACCGGTGGCGCACGTTTGCGTCCGTGCCGCCCGAGAACTCGAAGACGCGGAAGCTCGGGAACGTCTGGCGGAGGTCGCGGACGAGCTCCGCGTGGACGTCCTTGTACTCCGTGAAGATGACGGCGCGGCAGCCGCGCGCGCGGCCGCGGCGCGCCTCGAGGTCGGCGAGGAGCGCCGCGCGCTTCGCCTTGGACCGCTGGCACGCGTGGCGCGACTTCGCCAGCGTCATCTCGACGGTGAACTTCGTCGCGCCGCCGCCCCTGATGCGGTTGCGCCGGTGGGCGCCGAGGGCGTAGTCCTCCCTGTAGGCCGCCCGCTCCCGGTCCGAGAAGTCGAGCGCCACCGTCGCCGCGAGCTCGTCGGGCAGCGCGAGCGCGACGGCGCCGCCGAGGCGCATGGCCTTCGTGTGGCGGATCATGCGGAGCTTCAGCGCGGCGACGAGCCCGTCGAAGGCGTCCTGCTTCTTCCTCGCGAGCACGCAGTCCGCGCCGGGCGTCTCGAACGCGCGCCGGTAGGCCTGCATCTGCCCCGAGATCTGGCCGTGGACGCCGAGGAACGACGCGCTCCGCGAGAGGTGGTCGACGGCCGTCGTCATCGGCGTGCCCGTCACTGCCCACTTGCGGTCGGCCTTGAGCTGGCGGAAGTCCGCGGACTGGAACGTGAGGTGGATCTCGTCGACGACGATGCGGTGGAATCGCAGGGAGTCGACGAGCAGGTCGCCGAAGACGTTCGGCACCTTGAACTTCGTCGTGAACGTCGACACGAGCACGTCGACGTCGCGCCAGTCCGCGAGCTTCTTCGGCGAGAGCTTGTCGGAGCCGTAGAACCGCGCGACGACGAGGCCCGGCGCGAACTTCTTGATCTCGTCCTCCCACTGGCCGACGAGGCTGACGTTCGTCAGCACGAGGGTCGTCTTGAGGCGGAGCGTCGTCGCGACGCGGGGCGGCGGTAACCAGCGGCCGTAGGCCGGGTTCGGGATGCGGTTCCGCCAGGAGCCGAGGAACTCCGCGGGCCGCCGCTTCCAGGTGAGCGCCGTGCGCACGGCCGCCCACTCGGCGTCGCCCGGCCGCGCGCCGGCCGCGGGGCACGCGAGCGCGAGCGCGACGACGACGGCCGTCTTGCCCATGCCGACCTCGTCGCAGAGCCAGCCGCCGCGCTCGCCGCCGGCGCCCGGCGGCGGCGGGCTCGCGCCCGTCTGCCGCTCCGCGTTGACGCAGAACGCGAGGCTCTGGCGCTGGTAGGGCCGGAGCTTGAACGCGGCGCTGAAGCCCGCGGGCTCGGCGAGCTCCTCGGGGTAGACCTGCTGCACGGCCGCGAGCACGGCCGCGAGGCCGCCCGCCGGCGCGAGCGCGACGGCGACGGCCGCGCTCGTCGTCGCGCGCGCCGCGAGCGCCGACGCCTCCTCCTCGGAGCAGGCCGCGCCGCGCGCGTGGTCCGCGCGCGCGTCGCGCCAGCGCTGCGAGCCGTGCGTCGCCGCGCAGTGCGAGCTCCAGGACGCGCACGCGCTCGCGGGGCCGTCGCAGACGTAGCAGTAGCAGTTCGGGCAGAACTTGGACGCGTCCAACGCCTGGGGGAACGCCGTGCAGTGCTCGCCTACCAAGCATGTCGGTAACGATTTTTCGTCGTTTTTCCCGGTCAAATCTCTCGAAAATCGTCACCGCCACAGGACGCTGGTGCTCGCGGCTGTGCGGGAAGTCCGACAGCGCGCCCGAATGGGACGTGATGACGATGTCCTCGTCGTCGCCGAGCGCGGCTGCGGGCGGCGCCGCGCGCGCGGGCGGCGCCGCCACCGCGAAGCAGTCCTCGTCGTCGTCGTCGTCGTCGCGCACGCGCGGCGCGAGCGGCGCGCCCTCGACCTTGGCGCCCTCGACCTTGGCGCCCTCGACCTTGGCGCGTTTCGCCGGCGGCGGCGCCTCGTCGTCCGACGACGAGCACAGGTCAATCGCACCCTCCGTGCTCTTGGAGACGCGCGGCACGCTGGCCCCGGCATCGTCGTCACTGAGGCACAAGTCGATGACCATCGTTTTTGCTTTGAAAGCGCACACACACATCATTTAGACATTGTCATCAACCGTCCAAACCTGCCGAGCTCGCGACGCCAGGAGCAAGAGGAGAACCAGAAGCACCCCGCGCGCCGCCAGCCCGCCGCCATGGTCCGCACGGCGACCCGCGAGTACGACGCGGACGTCGTCTCCTACCTCAACGCCGCCGTGAGCGCCTTCCACTGCGTCGCCGAGGTGCGCCGGCGCCTCCTCGACGCCGGGTTCGAGGAGCTCGACGAGCGCCGGCCCTGGGCCGGGGCCGTCAAGCCCGGCGGGTCCTACTTCGTGACGCGCAACGGGTCGAGCCTCCTCGCCTTCGCCGTCGGCGGCGCCTTCGACGAGGCGACGTCCGGCGCGATCGTCGTCGGCGCGCACACCGACAGCCCGTGCCCGAAGCTCAAGCCCTGCTCGAAGCTGGAGAAGGCGGGCGCGAAGATGATGGGCGTCGTCGGCTACGGCGGGGGCATCTGGCACAGCTGGTTCGACCGCGACCTGACCCTCGTGGGCCGCGCGCTCTACGCCAAGGGCGGCCGGCCGACGCACGCGTTGGTCGACCTCGGCAAGCCCATCTGCCGCATCCCGACGCTCGCCATCCACCTGAGCGTCGGCGACGAGCGGTCGACGTTCAAGCCGAACCTGCAGAGCCACCTGCCGCCCATGCTCGCGTCCGGCATCCGCGACGCGCTCGCGGCGGCCGGCGGCCCCGACGACCCGCCGGATCCGCCTTCCACCGGCGGCGCGCTGGAGCGCCACGACGCCGCCGTCGTCGGCCTGGCGGCGGCCTACCTCGGCTGCGCGCCGGGCGACGTCCTCGAGCTCGAGCTCCAGCTCGGGGACACGCAGCCCGCGCAGCTCATCGGCATCCACGAGGAGTTCGTCTCCTCGGGCCGCCTCGACAACCAGGCGTCGTGCTACTGCGGCACGCAGGCGTTGATCGAGGCCGCGGGGTCGCTGGCCGCGGACGCGTCGCTGCGCATGCTCACCATGTTCGACCACGAGGAGGTCGGCTCCCTCTCAGCGCAGGGCGCGAACCTGTGTGGAAACCGACCACTGGTTTGGGTGGTCCTGACCAAACTTGAGAATTCTCTAGCTCGGTCAAATCGACGTCGATTCGGCTGATTTTTGGACGAATCGATTGCTCTCGTCGAGTTCTCGAAGCACAGCGAAGTAGTCTGGTCCAAACCGTTCGATTACGCGCACATTGAAGTCGGGTCGAAGATTTGATTTCCACACAGGCGCGAACTCGCCCGCGTTCAAGGACGTGCTCAGCCGCGCCTACGCGGCGCTCGAGGGCCGCGACGAGCACGCCTTCGTCGCCCGGTCCCTCCAGATCTCGAGCGACATGGCCCACGGCGTCCACCCCAACTACGCGGAGCGCCACGACCCGAAGCACGGGCCCAAGCTCCAGGGCGGCCTCGTCATCAAGCACAACGCGAACCAGCGCTACGCGACGAACGCCGTCGGCGCCGTCATGGTCCGCGAGTTCGCCGCCCGGGCCGACGTGCCGACGCAGGACTTCGCCGTCAAGGCGGACAGCGGCTGCGGCACGACGATCGGGCCCATCACCGCGGCGCTCACGGGCATGCGCACGGTCGACGTGGGCCCGCCCCAGCTGAGCATGCACTCCTGCCGCGAGATGATGGGCTCCGACGACGTCTTCTACACGATCAAGCTCTGCAAGGCCGCCTACGAGCACTTCGCGGACGTCACGAAGGCCGTCGACGTCGACGGGCCCGACCCGTTCTGGGCCGACCCGGGCAAGGGCTGGGCGTCGGCGAAGCTCCAGTGCTAGGACCTAACGCTATCATTAGGCCGCGACCTTGGGCTCCTCCTCCGCCTCGTCGCCGACGTCGACGACGGCGGCCTCGCCGTCGTTCATGCCGAGCTGCTCGAGCATGGACGACTGCTCCTCGGCGACGAGCGTGTCCGTCGAGCCCGACATGATGCCCAGAGCGCTGCGCCGGCTCTCCTCGATGAGCATGTCGACGTCGCTCTGGTCGTAGTTGAGCGCGCGGAGCACCGCGCCGCCGAACGGCAGCGTGAGGAACCGCGAGTCCTCGGGCAGCGCGGGCACCATGGCCACCACCCCCAGCATCTTGCTCAGGCGCCGCTGGTGGTCCCGGTTCTCGGCGCGCGCGATGATCTCCAAATCCGGGTAGAGGCGCCGCAGCGCGACGACGACGCGGTTCGTCGCGCGGCGGTCCTGCGTAGCGACGACGACGATCTTCGCCGCGCCGACCTTGAAGTACTCGAGCACCTCCTGGCGCCCTAGATCGCCGAAGAACACGGGCAAACCCCGCGCCCGCGCGTCCGTCGCCTTCTGGGGGTCCAGGTCGAAGACGACGTAGCGCTGGAGCTTCGCGTCCAAAAGCTCGCAGACGACGCGGCCGACGCGGCCGTAGCCGCAGACGACGACGAGGTCGTCGCCCTGCTTCGACGCGAGCACCGCGGCCTCGTCGTCGCGCTCGCGCCGCGTGCGCCGCGCGAGCTTGGCCGCCCAGTTGTTCACGGGCTCCTGGAGCCGCTCGCCCGCGGACGCGAGCACGGGCGTCAAAGCCATCGACAGCGCCGTCGTCGTCCGCAGGAACTCGGCCGTCGCCGCGTCCAGCACGAGGAACTTCGTCGCGAGCCCAAAGGCCACGAAGCCGAACTCGCCGCCCGGGCCCAGGAGCAGGCCCGCGCGGAGCGCCGCGGACGCCGGCACGCGGAACGCGAGGCCGAGGCTTGCGAGGACAACGGCCTTCGTCGCGACGAGGCCGCCCGTCGCCGCGGCGACGGCGAGGGGCTTCTCGACGATGAGCCGCGGGTCGATGGAGAACCCCACCGTGACGAAGAAGAGGCCCAGGAGCATGCCCCGGAAGGGCGCGACGTCCGCCTCGACCTGGTACCGGTACCGCGTCTCGCTGAGCGACACGCCCGCGAGGAACGCGCCGAGCGTCGCCGACAGGCCCACGGCCTCCGTCGTCGCCGACATGGCGAGGACCGTGAGCAGGACGACGGCGAGGAACGCCTCCTGGCTCCGCGACTGCGCCGCGAAGTAGAACAACGAGTCGATCGCGCGCTTGCCGATGAGCTCGACGGCCGCGAGGGACACGAGGCCCTTGACGGCGGCGCCCAGCACGGCGCCGGCGACGGCGCCGCCCCCGATGCCCGCGCCGCCCGAGGCGAGGAGCGGGATGACGACGAGCAGCGGCACGACCGCGAGGTCCTGGAGCAGTAAGACGCCGAGCGCCGCGCGGCCGTGCGCCGTCGCCAAATCGTCCTTGTCGCGCAGCAGCTGGAGCGCGAAGGCGCTCGACGACAGCGCCAGCGACGCGCCGACGACGAGCTGGGCGCCGAGGTCCAGCGGCGCGCCCGCGCCCGTCCGGAGGCACCAGCCCGCGAGCGACGCGAGCGCGGCCGTCGTCGCGGCCATCTGGCCCACGCCGATCCCCAGGATCTCGCGCTTCAGGGCGCTCAGCCGCTCCAGGCTCAGCTCTAAACCCATCTCGAAGAGGAAGAAGACGACCCCCAGCTCCGCGAGCGCCTCCGTCGTCCTTAAGTCGCTGATGACGCCGAGGCCGTGCGGGCCGAGCGCGACGCCCGTCGCGAGGAACCCGAGGATCGGCGACGCGCCCGCGCTCTTCAGCGTCGGGATCGCCAGCGCGAAGGTCGTCAGGAGCAGGAGCGCGTCCCGCCGCGCGCCCGCGCGGAGGAGCGAGCCCACGGCCTCGGCGAGGAAGCTCTCGCCGTAGAACGCGCCGATCGCCGCGCGCGCGCCCCAGAGCAGCGACAGGCCGACGCCCGCGCCCGCCGCCACGGCGCGCCAGCCGACGCGCTTGCGCCAGCGCCCGAACTTGGCCAGCGCCGTCGTCGCGCGCGGCGGCGCCGCGTCGTCGTCGCTCGCCGTCGCCGCGGTCATGGAGAGGACGGCGACGCTCCGCGGCCGCGCGACGGCGATGCTGCGCGGCCGCGCGACGGCGCGGGGCGCCGGCGCGACGAAAGACGCGGCATACCGCCAGGAGAGGACCACCGCGACCGCGCACAAGCGCGAACGCACCATGTTCAGTGGTCTGGTCTGGTTCAACTCTCGAGCGTGAGGACGGCCGTCGGCTCTGATTCGGTCGCCGATCACCAGTGGCACCACTGATCACCTCCACAAGACGAGAGGTCTCGCGCCGCGCGATCACCACTGATCACCTCCACAAGACGAGCGGTCTCGCGCGCGCGCGCCGAGCGAGGAGTCGTGCGTACGTGAGAGGCGGGGCAACGCTTCGAGTGTGGTGCCCCCGGGGCGCGATGCTTCCCCTCGTCGCCGCCCTCGCCCTCGCCGCCGCGACGGCCCAACCGGAGAAGCCGCACATCCTCCTCATCACGACGGACCAGCAGCGCGTCGACTCCGTCGGCGCCTACGGCCTCGCCGGCGCGACGAATCTGAGCCCGCGCCTCGACGCGCTCCGCGCGGAGGGCGTGCTCTGGACGCGGGCCTACGCGGCCGCGCCGTCGTGCTCGCCGTGCCGGACGTCGCTCCTCACGGGCGTGCACGTGCCCGTGCACGGCGTCATCGAGAACGGCTGGGCGAGGTACCGGCCGGGCCTCCTCGTCTACCCGGACCTGCTGAAGAAGGCGGGCTACGACTGCTCCGTCTACGGCAAGACGCACTTCAAGCCCGAGCCGCCGTCGCTCGACGTCGTCGTCCCCGTCAACGCGAAGACGAAGGCGAAGGGGCGCTGCAACGCGCTCGACATGCGCCGCGGCGGCGGCGGCGAGTGCCGCATCGAGGAGAAGGACTTCCTCGAGACCGTCCTCGTCGACGCCTTCGTGAAAAAGCTGAAGACCGCGCGCCGCGACGGGCCGTGGTTCGCGCACGTGAGCCTCCTCGCGCCGCACCCCGTGAGCCTGCCCCCGAAGGGCTGGGGGAACAGGTTCAAAATTGCGGACCTGCCGGCCGTGGACCACCGGCCGGGCGACTTCGCGAAGCTCCCGGAGGAGACGAAGCTCCTGCTGCACAACACGTCGACGCGGACCTACAAGCACCCCTACGTCAGGGCGACGGACGGCTCGCTGATCCGGCGGGTCGTCGACGCGGAGCGCGTCGCCTACTACTCGCTCTGCGCCTACGTCGACGCGCAGGTCGGCCGCGCGGTCGCCGCCGTCGACGCCGCGGGCCTCCGGGACCGGACCCTCGTGCTCTTCACGTCGGACCACGGCTCGCAGCTCTTCGACCACGGCGTCCAGAATTCGAAGCACACGTTCCTCGAGGCGTCCTGGCGCGTGCCGCTCCTGGCCCGGTGGCCCGGCGTCCTCCCGGCCGGCGGCGAGGCGACGTTCGCGTCGACGGTCGACCTCACGGCGACGATCCTCGCGGCGGCCGGCGCGGGCGTGCCGCGGTCCATGGCCGGCTACGACCTCGTCGCGCCCTTCCGCGGCGCGGGCGCGGCGCGGACGCGCGCGGCGGCCGTCGCGGGCGCGCTCTACCGGGGCTTCGCGGTGGTCACGGCGCGCTACAAGCTCGTGTATTTTCCCGAGCGCGACGAGGGCCGCTTCTACGACCTCGAAAACGACCCGACCGAGCGGAACGACCTCTGGCGCGACGCGGCGCACGCGGCGCGCCGCGCCGCGCTCCACGTCGCGCTCCTGCGCTGGCGCGTGCGCCAGGACGACCTCGCGTACGAGGCGTCCATCCTCGCGGACACGCCCGGCGGCTCGTCGAAGGCCGCCGTCGACGGCGTCCGGGGCCTCGACGCGAACCGCGGCGAGCGAGACCTCCAGACCGCGGCCGCGGCCGTCGACGCCATGGACGCGTAAGGTTATTGAAGTTCAAAAAGCCCTCTTGCGAGCTCAGGAGCAAGGGGATATAAATCTAGACCAAGGGCGCGCGCGCGTCTTTGAGGTGCACGGGGCCCACCGTTTCGACGACGAGGTCTGGGAGGTCCACGTCGGCGATCGCCTCCTTGAACCCGTCGAAGGCGGCCATCTCGAAGGCGACAAAGGCCCTGGTAATAGTCAGCTTCTCCTCCCGCGAGAGCTGGTCCGTGACGGAGTGCATCTGGTTCCAGAGCGTCTGCTGCTCGTCGATGATCGTCAACCGTTGCTCGAAGAACGCCTTCGACGCCGCCATGCCGCCGCCCGCAGATTTCGAGGAGGTCATTGCCAAGGCGTCGATGAGGTCCTCGAAGAAGCGGTCCCCGAAGTCCGCCGCGCCCTGGACCGGCTCGTCATCTTTCAGCAGTCGATCGACGACGTCGGCCGCCGCCGTCACGTCCTTGAGCATCGACTTCGCGTCGGCGAGGGCGGCTGCTGTGAGGTCCCGCAGGCAGCCGATGCGCGCGGCGATGCGCTGCTTGAGGTCCTCGCGCGACGCCTACGATGCAGTCGATGAGATCATGGCCCCGCGACGACGCGGCGCCGGGAAAACACGTCGAGCGTGAGCGCGACGGCGGCCGGGTTCTTCGCCTTCTTCCACGAGGTGAGCTGCCTCGAGACCTGCGTGCGCACGAGCTCGATCTCCGTGATGAACTTGTCGAGCTTCTCGTCGACGCCCTCCCTCGGTAGGTTCGAGCTGCGCCAGCCCACGTAGTTCTCGTCGAAGAACTTCCAGAGGCGGCGCTTCTGGGACGCGTCGATCGGCCGCCTGTGGCCCGGCACGTCGGCGTCGGCCGCGGGCGGCGCGTCCGCTGTGGGGGGCCCCTCTACGCCGGGCGCGCCCTCCTGGCCCTCCATTGCGTCCGGGCAGCCCGCGGCACCTTCCCCCGCGATCTCATGGTTGCAGTACGAGGACCTCGCGCGGCAATATCTCGTTGAGCTGCCACCCCATACTATTTATTACCCCTTGTCAGGAGAGAGGCCGCCTAGATAATTTTAACACGCATGGCCATGGACACGGAGGCGTTCAAGGAACGCGCCGTGGTGCCGCCGCGCACGAACACGGCGGACATCGAGAATCTGCGCGCCGCCGCGCCCCCGGAAGACGACGGCCCGCTCGACGCCGCCGAGCTGTCCGCCGCCGTCGCCGCCGCCGCGGCGGACGACGGCGCGGACCTCCTCGTGGTCATCCTCGTCGGCTGCGTCGGGAGCGGCAAGAGCGCGACGGCGAACCGCCTGACGCGCGCGAGCCTCGAGAGCCGGCGGTCCGCGGCGTCGGTGACGCGGGCCTGCGGCGTCGCCGGCGGCCCCGGCGTGCTCTGCCTCGACACGCCGGGCTTCGGCGACCCGGCGCTGCCGACGAACGCCCTCGTCGCGACGATCCGCGGCGCCCTCGAGGACGTCGAGGGCGCCGCCCTCGCCGCGAACGGCCGCGCGCCCACATTCGCGACGCTCTACGTCTGCAGCGCCGCGTCGCGCGTCGGCGCGGCGGACGTCGCCGCCTGGGACGCGCTGCGCTTCGCGCTGGGCCGCGCCTGGCGCCTCAACGCGCTCTGCGTCTGGACCCACGCGGACCTGCTGGACCACGGCCTCGACGACTTCCTCGACGGCCTCGAGGACGGGCTCCGGGAAGAATTGGATTGTTTCGCGGGCGGCCCGGCGCTCCTCGACAATCTAGGGGCGGGCGCGCGCGAGGACGCGCTCGTCGCGGACTTGCTGGAGCGGGCGCGGCGCTTCGCGGGGCCGCGGCCCCGGCCGCGGGGCAAGCACGCGCGGCGGATCCGCCAGGAGACCGCGCGCGCGCGCGAGGCGCGGCGGCGCCGCGAGGCGGGCGAAATCCCGCTCCACGCGGCCGACGACGACGAGGGGCGGTGCGCGATCCTGTAAATGCGCATCGCAGCGTCGAGGAGCCGCCCCCGGGACAGACGAGGGCGCCAAGGGGAAGCGGCAACGGCAACCTACCGGTGGTCCCTTAGGTACTCCCGGAAGGACCCGGGCCAGCGCACGGCGTTCGGGTCGCCCGGCGTCGGCGGCCGCGAGTCCGGCGTCGGCGGCCGCAGGCCCACGACGAACACGTCCGCGGGCTCGCGGTCGTCCTCGGGGCACTTGCCCTGCGTCGACAGGTGCTCCGCGAGCGCGCGGCGCGTGCCGAAGCCCGCGCCGCAGGCGGCGCAGCACTGGCGCGGCGGCCGCACCTTGCGGAAGTCGGCCACGGCGGCGTCGCGCGCCGCGTCCGCGGCGTCCTTGCGGACCTTGAGCAGCGCCGCGGCGTCGACGGCCTCGCGCCAGCACTTGCGCCGCGACTTGCGGAAGGGGCCGCCGCACTTCGTGGGCTCGACGGGCCTCGCGAGGTCCGCGTCGCCGGCGACGTCCGCGAGCCACGCGACGGCCGTTTCAACGAGGACGACGTCGTCGCGCCGCGCGCGGCGGAACTTCGGCGGCGGCGCCGCCGCGTAGGCCGGCTGCCGGCCCCTGGGGTCCCGGAAGCGCTGGAGCGCCGCGGCGGCCATGAACAAGCGGCTCCGCTCGACGCGCTTCTCCCACGCGAAGAGGTGGACCGCGAACGCCGCGTCCGCGTGAATTTTGGGCCACCGCTTCGCGCAGCGCTTCACGTGCTTGGCGCGCGTCTTCTCCCGCCGCGCGTCGCGCTTCGCGCGCCGCTTCGCGAGCCTCGCTTCGTATTTCTCCTTCTTCCTGAGCCGCCTCTTGCGGCGCTCGTCCTCGCGCGTGACGCGCCGGTCGTCCTTGCGCCGGCTCTTCGCCTGCTCCTTGATGCGCGTCAGGTCCTGCTCGCCGACCTTGCCGAGCTTGTGGATGAGCGCCTTCTCGGCCCTGCGCTCCTCGGGCGTCATGCGCTTCCACGCGGCCCTCTTGGCCCGCGTCGCCGCGCGGTCCGCGCGGCGGCGGTCGCGCTCGAGGGCCCGGAACGCCCCCAGGACGGCCGCCTCCTCGTTCGTGCGGCCCCACCACTTGCGCCGCGCCGACTCGAGCACCGCGGCCTCGCGCTCGGCCTCGGAGAGCTCCGCGGCCCGCGCGCGCTGCTCCGCGGCCTCGGCGTCGGCCTCGCGCTGCCAGACGGACGGCCGCGACCCGGAGAAGCCGGGCAGCACCGTGAAGCGCGACTTCCGCGGCTTCGGTTGCGCGGCCATGACGGGCGCGAGCGACATCATCGACGTGCGAGAGTCGTCGGGCGGCGCCGCGGCGGACGCCGGGGCCGCCGCGCCCGCGGACGCCGGGGGCGCGTCCGCGGTCGGGGCGCCCGCGTCCGCCGCGGCCGCGTCCGCCGCGGCCTCGGCGGCGCGCCGGGCGTCGACGTCGCGCTGGAGCTTCGCGAGCGCGCCCGTCGCCTCGAGCTCCGGCGCGGCCGGCGCGGGCTCCGCGGGCGCGTCGCCCCGCGCCGCGCCGTCGCGCTCCCAGGGCGGCGCCGGCGGCGCGTCGGCCTTCAGGGCGCGCAGGGCGCGGTCGAAGACGGCCGCCGCGGCGTCGCGGAGCGCGCGGCGCGCGGCGACGCGCGCGGCCGCGGTCTCGTCGCCGACCTTGGTCCGCCGCCGCGGCCGCTTCGCCGGCGGGCCCGCGAGGTGCGCGTCCAGGGTTTTCAGCGCCGCCCGCTCCTCGCGCCGCGCGTGGACCTCCTCGGCCGAGAAGCGCTGCCGCTCCCAGGCCTCCTCGTAGCGGTAGCGCGCCCAGAGCCGGTTCTTGCCGAGGACGACGCGCGCGAAGGCCTCGAGGAAGACGGCGTTGCGCCGCCGCCGCCACAGGATCTTGAGCATGAACGTCGACCGGCAGAACATCTGGATCGCGTGCGCCGCGGGGAAGTAGATGTACTGCGCGTAGCAGCGCCAGTTCTTCGCGATCTTCGACACGGCGACGTCGCGGCGGAGGTGGTAGCCCATGGTCGTCGCCTGGAGCCGCGCCTTCATGGCCCGGAACTGCTTCGCCCCGAGCTTCGCGCGCCACTTGGACCCGAGGAGCGTCTGCGCCTCGTCGAGCACGCGGTCGCGGCGCCGGCGCCGCCACCGCTTCCGGCGGCACGCGCGGAGGAACGCGACGACGTCCGCGCCCGCGGCCGCGCGCCGCGCGTCGCGCCGCTCGCGCGCGTGGCGCTTCGCGACCTTGCGCAGCCAGAAGAGGCGGAACGCCGCGGAGATCTTCCGGGCGACGTAGCGGCGCGACGCGATCTTCGCGCGCGCCCGGCGGAGCGACGCGACCCCGAAGCTCTGGATGTGGCACGCGGCGAGGTACTCGTCGCGGCGGTGGCCCTCGTAGGCCGCCCGCGCCGCCTCCCGCCGGTACCAGCGCGCGAGCTTCGCCGCGAGCGCGCCGCGGCGCGCGAGCCGCTTCCGGTACGCGCCCTGCAAAGCGAAGGCCGCCTCGTGGTCCCCCGGCCCGTGGTGCGGGTCGTCGCGCCGCCGGCTCGCCGCGCCCTTGCGCGCGCCGTAACCGGCGAGGTCCAGCGCCGCGCGCGCCTCCGCGGCCGTCGTCGCGTCCGCGCCCGCGTAGCGATCGTCCGACGCGCGCGGCCGGAGCCGCGGGTGCAGCGCGACGCCGTCGAGCTTGTGCGCCGCGTGGCGCGCGGCGCGGCGCGCGGCGGCGTCGAGGGCGGCGTCGTCCGCGAGCGCCGTCGCCGGCCCGGCGTCCCGCGCGGGCGCGGCGTCGTCGCGGCGGAAGCCCGGTAGCGCCGATTCGTCGCCCGTGAGCTCGAAGGCGCCCGCGCTCAGGCCAAAGTCCACGGACTCGGGCGCGAGCGCCGGCCGCGCGCGCCAGAACTCCGTGGCGAGGCGCGGGATGCGCCGCGAGTTCGCCGCGCGCGCGACGCGCGCGACGGCGGGCCCCGCGACGACGCCGCCGTCGCGCGCGAGCTCGGGCAGCGCCTGGGCAGCACAAGGGTGATTCAACGTCGCTTCAACGTGAGTGTTCCGGGCGCGCGCGTTCCGGAAAAAGCATCCACGCTCCGAGACCGTTCCGAGAGATGATCGCCCGTTCAAAAATCAGCTGAAACGAGTGGAAAACGGCCGAGATATGAGCCTTTGAAGTTGGGAATGTCGCTCTCTTGTGCTGCCCTGGGCAGCGCCTTGGCGCAGGAGTGGAGCGCCAGGGTCCGCGCGCGCTTGCGGGCCACGGCCGCGGCCGTCGCCTGCTTGGCGCCGGCGCCGACGCGCGCCGCGACGTCGCCCGGCGCGCGCCGCGTGAGCCGGCGCGCGCGCGGCTCCGACTCGTGCGCCATGGGCAGCGCGGGCAGCGAGCAGAGGCTCGACGCCGTCGACAGGCGCGCGGGCGTGCCCGCGCGGCTCGACACCGCGCTCTGGCGCGAGTCTCCGCGGCTCGCGCCGCGGCTCGCGCCGCGGCTCGCGGACCGGAGGCCGCCCAGGTCCCCGGCGGCGACGGACGCGCGGCGCCGCCGCGCGGGGTTGAGGCTCGCGGAGAAGAGGGCCGCGGCGGCCGACGACGGCTTCGCCTCGCCGTCGCCGCCCGGCTCCTCGTAGGACGCCATGCGCTCGCCGACGGTCGCGCGCGGCGAGTCGCCGCCCGCGACGAAGGCCGTCCAGTCGAGGCCGCCGCCGGCGGACGACGGCGACAGCGGCCCGCCGGGCTGGAGCACGGAGTCGATGAACTCCTCGTCGGGCACGTAGGCGCGCTCCGCGGCGATGTCCGCGCTCCACGTCGCGAGCAGCTTGCGCGTCCGCTCCACGGCCGCCGCCTCGGCGGCGCGCCGCTTCTCCGCCGCGCTCCGCTTCTTCGGCGGCGAGTGGCGCTTGCGCGGCGCCGGCGACGCGGCGTAGACCGCGAGCGCCTCGGGGGCCGCCTGGGGCCCGGCCGCCGCCATGGCGCACAGAAGGGCTGCTTCAAACGACCATAGCAGGACGGGCCACCCCCCGCATACCCAAGTAGCGCTGCCGGGCGTCAACATCGGCGTCTCCCCTTCAATAACAACAACTCCGATGTGGGGGTTGCAGCATTTCCACCGATGGTGTTACGCGATCCCCGGACCGCCGTCGTCGGGCGAGTCGAAGGGCCGCCGGTGGAGCTGGTCCCGGGGCGCGAAGCCGAGGAACACGTTGCGGTTGCGGTGCTTGATCGGCGGCGTCGATGCCTTGCCCGAGGGCCGCGCGGGCCGGCCGAGGAAGGACTGGACCGTGGACGACCGCTCGCCGAGGCTGAGGTCGTCGCCCTCCTCCGGCGGGGCGAAGGAGTCCGGCCCGTTGTCGATGGCGAGGGAGCCGCCGCCGGTGACGCGCGTGAGCAGCGACCTGGGCAGGACAAGAGTGCGAAATTCCCAACTTCAAAGGCTCCTCTCTCGGCCGGTTTCCACTCGTTTTGGCTGATTTTTTGACGAGCGATCATCTCTCGGAACGGTCTCGAAGCGTGGATGCTTTTTCCGGGACGCGCGCGCGCGGAACACTCACGTTGAAGCGACGTTGAATCACTCTTGTCCTGCCCTGGCAGCGACACCGTCGAGCCGCGGTTGCGGCCGATGACGCGCCGGTGGTAGCGGATGCAGCGGCTCATGACGTCCTGGAGCTTGCGCTCGCTCGCGATCTTCGCCTCGAGGACGCGCGTGCGCCGGAGCTGGTGCTCGTTCGCCGCCGCGATCAGCTTCATGCGGTGCTGCTGGTACCTGGCGCGCGCGACGATGGCGGCGGGTCTCTCGCCGGCGACACTCGAACCGGGGGGTGGGACGCCGGCGCGCGCCCGAGCTCCGTCTTCATGCGGCTGTGCTCGTTCTGGATCGTGTGGTACTGCGTGAAGACGTCGCGCTCGATCTTGGCCTGCAAATTCGTCGTCGCCGCGAGTCGCCGGCTCTCCATCTCGCCGGCCCAGCGGACGGCGTTGGCCTCCATGGTCGCCGTCGTCGACTGGACCTTCTTCGCGTGCTGCGCCTCGAAGGCGTCCTGGCGCGTCTGCACGTCGGCCATCTCGCGCAACAGGCGGTCGTGGTCGCGCTGGAACGCGCGGAGATCCTCGAGCTTCGCGCGGAGCGATTCGACCCGCGCCCGGCTCTCGGCGACGGCGTTCGCCTTGGCCGCCGTCCGCGCGGCCAACGCCGCGGCCAGCGCGTCCTGCTCGAGGCGCGCGTCCGCGTCGAGCGCCGCGGCGTCCTCGTTCATCGTCTTCGTCGTCTCGGACTCGCCCGCGATGACCGCCTCGCGGCTCGTGATGCCCTCGGTCATCTCTTTCTCGACCTTGCCGATCTTCTCCTTGAGCGCGATGTTCTTGATCGTGAGCTGCGCGATCTCGTGCTCGAGCTCCGCCTTGAGGTCCTCGCGCTGGGCCGCCGTCAGCGCCGCCTTCATGCCCTCCACCTCCTCGTCGGGCTCCTCGTAGGCGCCGTCCTCGGGGCTCGCCTTCTCCTCGCCCTCGCCGTCGACCTTCTTCGACGACATGGCGCCGGCGCCGGCCACCGGGCCGCGGGGCAGCCCCACCTCGATTCCTCGAGAGAGCGTTTCATTCAACGTCCGGGATAGATCAGCTTCAGCTTGCCCCCGAGTCGTGTTGTCACGGGCAGCCATTTTTCGATCTAATGGGCCGCCATTGAACGAGGGGGGCGCCATGGATGAGCGCTCGGGGTCCATGCGGCGCTCGGTCTCCCGCGCCAACGAGCACAAGAAGCACCGCCACCACCACACGAGCCAGCCCCGGCCCCACGCCGCCCTGGATGAGCGCTCGGGGTCCATGCGGCAACACGTCTCGAAGAAAAACCTGGTCGCCCTGGACATCGAGGGCGCGGCCCCTCGTCCGGCGGCCCCTCGTCCGACGTCGCCGCGGTGGTCCCCCCGCCTCTCGCGGTCTCAGAGCTTCTCGGAGGTCTTCCGGCGGCCGTCGCGCCTCATCATGGAGGAGTTCGAGTCCCTGGGCTTCACGGACCACATGCGCGACCAGATCCTCCCCAAGGACGGCAGCCCGCACCGGTCCCAGGGCCGCGCGGTCGCGGGCCACGCCATCGCCGTGCGCCTCGCTAGGACCTACGGCGTCTTCAACGAGCAGAGCCCGCACTTCACGGCGTTCGTGGACCGGATCCGCCGCGGCGAGATCGACATGGAGGAGCACGGGCGGAAGCACTCGCTCAAGGCGGGCAAGACCGACGCGTCCTTCTTCGCGGACAAGATCGGCCGCAACGTCATGCGGCGGCTCCGCCACGACCGGGGCATGCTGGCGTCGTACGCGAACCTTATAATCTTCGTCGTCCACATCCTCGTCTTCATGTCGGTCATCGCGCTGCAGCGGGGCGTCGAGGGCACGGAGCGCTACCAGTTCTTCGCCATCCGCGACGCGCTCCTCGGGTTCTCGAACGCGACGACGGAGAACGGCGAGAGCTACGTCCGCGACTTCTTGTTGGACTTCGACACGTTCGAGGACTTCCTGCGCGGCGACGTGCTCGGCATGATCTTCCAGGACAGCGAGTGCGGCGACGCGCTGTGCGAGCCCCGCGACGAGAACCCGAACTACGAGCCCGACCCCTACGAGCGCGAGGCCGCGTCGTTCGTCGGCTGCCGCGCGGACTGCGGCATCGTCGACACGACGCCCGTCGAGTTCCGCTTCTTCGACACGTCCAAGCTCGACGTCGCGTCGGCGGTCATGGCCGCGGCCCTGGACGACGGCTGGCTCGACAAGAGCGCCATGGCCTGGGGCGCGCGGACGGACGGCGGCGAGGTCCTCGTCAAGCCCGTGGCGGGCTGGAACGTCTGCCACGCGTCGGACCACTACTGGGGCACGCCCGAGACCGTGTGCCTCTTCGACGGCGACGTCCAGATCAACGGGCGGCCCTACCGGACGGCCGAACTCGACTTCGAGTCCTCGTTCTTCGGCGAGTCCAAGGTGCTCGACCTCTACGCGGGGGACTGGGAGCTGCGCTACGCCTTCGACGGCTTCGCCTGGACCTACCCCTACAGCACCGTCGACGACCCCCTCGCGGGCCAGACGGTGCAGATCGGCTTCCCGGCGATCCGCGGCGCCGTGTGCACGCGCGACGCCTTCTCGGGCGAGGAGGCCTGCGACCTCTGGGCGCCCTGCCCGGACGCGAACGAGTGCGCGTGCAGCTACGTCGACAACGTCTACCGCTGCTTCGACGACGCCTACTGGGCCGGGTTCAACGCGGAGACGATGACGCACTCGACGCTCAAGGACGACGACGTCGACATCGAGATGGCCGCGTTCCCCGACTCCGTGGCCTACGAGGCCATCGCGAAGTGGTGGCAGATCCCCCGGGCGCCGGCGGCGACGTCGGCCTGGGGCGACCGGTCCGCGCCGGCCGCGGTCGCGAACGCGTCCGCGTGGAACCCGCGCGTACGAAAGTTCTCGCTCGTGCTGCTCAACGTCTACGCGTCCCTCACCTGGCTGGGCAACACGGTGTCCATACTCGACGCCGCGGGCGAGGTCGTGACGAGCGAGACGCTGACGGACACCGGCTGCGCCGTCGTCGACGTGCTCCTCAGCGAGGGCCGGACGTACGCGTTCGAAAGCGCGACGACCGAGGCGGGCGACCAGTACCACGCGGGCATGGGCTGGGCGCTCTACGACGGCGACGCCCTTGTGCTCCGCGGCTCCGGCGACGTCCAAGCCTGCACGTTTACGGTGAGCGACCGGGGCGCGACCTGCGACGCGGGCGGCGGCGACGGCGCGTCCATCGCCGACTGCCCCGTCGTCGGTCCGACCTGCGAGGGCTTCGCGACGCCCGACGCCGTCGTCTCCGTCTTCGACTACCGCTGCTACGGCGACGGCGCGTCGTCGAGCGGCGACGCCAACGCCACGGCCGCGCCGACGCCGGCGGCGGCGGCCTACGCGCTCCCGCCCGACGACGCCGTCGCGGCCGTCGACTGCGCCTTCGACGCGGACCTCTGCAACTACGAGGACGGCGGGGGCAACGGCGGGCCCTGGACCTTCTTCGTCGGCCGGACGGGCACGCCGAACAGCGGGCCCAAGGAGTTCGGCGACCGGAGCGACGCGGACGACGGCTTCGCGTACGTCGAGGCGAGCGGCACGTCGAACGACACGTTCATCCTGCGGAGCCCGGCCTTCGCGGCCCTCGCGGAGCCGGCGCTCCTGACGTTCAAGCTCCACGCCTACGGCGACCGCGTCGCGTACATGAACCTCGAGGGCCTCGTCGGCGGGACCTGGGAGGTGCTCTTCCGGACCGTCTACGACCAGGGCCACCGCTGGCACGAGAAGTCCGCGGAGGTGCCGGCGGCGACGACCCGGATCCGCTGGCGCGGCTTCACCTACTTTTGGACCGGGGACATCGCTATCGACGACGTCGCCTTCGCGGCGGCCGCCGCGCCGACGCCCGCGCCGACGGCCTCCGAGGACGACGGCCGCCTCCGGTGCTACGCGGGCTGGAAGCGCTACTCCGAGGGCGACGCCGACTTCCTCGCGGGCCAGTGGCAGCAGGACCCGAGCTCGGAGATCGTCACCTGCCCCGCGGACGACACGCACTGCGTCCTCTTGGAGTACGCGTGGCCCTTTGCGGGCGGCGGCGTCGGCTGGAACGGCTTCAACGAGCCCACCAAGGCGGTGCAGCCGCTCACGGCCGGCGCCGTGCCCGCGGCCTACGTCGGCCTCGGCGGCTGCTGGAGCGACTTCGAGCGCATGCTCCTGGCCGACATGATCCACGCGGGCTACGACTTCCCGGACCCGGGGCCCCTGGACCCGCGGCTGTGCATGAACGTCAAGAGCGAGTACTACGAACAGCACGCGCTCCTGTCGGACTGCCTCGCCTGCGCGGGGGACCTCTGCAACGTGCCCGGGGCCCAGGACCCGGCCTGGTACGCCAACGTCTTCAACGTGTCCGCGCAGGCGCTCGGCGCTTCCGGCGAGTACTTCCTCGACGAGCTGGGCGTCGTGAACCGCATCTCCGCGCAGGGCATGGACACGGAGACGGGCGTGTTCTGCTCGCCGCAGCGCATGGCCGACGGCGTCTGCGACCTGCCGCAGTCCGGCTTCGCGTGCCTCCACGACGGCGGCGACTGCCTCGACGACGAGCACGCCTACGTCGCCGCGCCCTGGGTGCGGTACCGCAAGGGCGAGGACGGCGCGCTCGACGACTGGCCCTACGCCCTCGTCCTCGGGAAGCCGCCGCAGGCCCACGCGACGGTCCCCCACGTGCTCTGGAGGGCCGTCTTCGACCGCGTCTTCCTCGAGGGCGCGGCGGGCAACTTCACGGGGGAGGCCCGCGTCGGCAACCTCGCGGAGCCGCGCGGCCCGCCGCTCGCGGCCGTCGACCCCGCCAAGGCGTCCGAGTCCTGGGACGACGTCGCGCGGTACCTGCCGAGCGCCGCGTGCCCGGAGTGCGCCGCGTACGCCGGCGATTTCGCGACGGTGCCGTTCACGGTGGAGGTCGGCCCGGGCAACAAGGTCGGCGGCTACAACCCGGAGAATTACGACATGTTCGCGTCGCCGTCCGAGGGCGACCTGCGGGCGCGCTGGCTCAGCCACCCGAACCGCGTGATCTTCGGGCCGCTCGTGTCGCAGCGGCGCGTCGTCTTGGAGCGGTGCCCGGCCGAGGGCCCCTTCGCGGACCTGCGGGACCCCGGCGCGCCGCTCTGCGACTTCCACCGCGGCGAGAAGGCGCTCTTCCGGCCCGAGTACCTGCCGAACCGCGCCAGCGAGGCGCCCTTCGGCGTGGACCCGACGTTCCTCGAGAGCTCGTTCCTCTACAAGGGCGCGAACGACGAGGCGCTCAAGGACGAGCTCTACGACAACGCGACGGAGCTCCAGGGCTCGGGCGTGCCCTACGGCTTCTTCTACGACTCGGGCTGCCCCGGCGCGCGCGACTTCCCCGTCGTCTTCGACACGAACCTGAACCGGACGCGCGCGCTCGAGCTCTTCGACACGCTCACCGAGGGCGCGTACTTCGACAAGCAGACGCTCGACGCGACGGTGCAGATGGCGACGGTCAACGTGGAGACGGGCCTGCTGACCTACATCGAGATCGTCGCGGAGCGCGTCAAGGAGGGCGGCATCCGCGTCACGGACTCGTACCGCGTCTTCGACCCGCGACCCTACGACAGCGACTCGGACGTCGCGCGCGCGTTCCTCGAGCTCGCCAACGTCGCCATCGTGCTGGCTTTGATCTTCGTCGAATGCCGCGAGCTCTGGCACACCTACGCGGTCACGGGCGGGATCTGGGACTACGTGCTCAGCGGCTCGAACTTCATCGACGTCCTCGGCTACGTCGTGAGCCTCGTCATGTTCGCCGAGTGGCTCCACTTCTGGCGCCTCGCGGCGCGCATCCGGCCCCTGGCCCACTACGACGCCTACGCGGACATCGACGCCGTCGGGCGCATCACGGGGGCCTCCGGGGACGTCGACGCGATCCAGGACCAGTACGAGGACGTCAAGCGCGCGTCCAACTCGCTCGCGCGCTACGACGAGTACATCGCCGTGGCCATGATCATGATGGCCTTCCAGCTCCTCAAGAACCTCGACTTCCACCCGCGCATCGGCATGATCTCGCGGACCGTCCGCGCGGCGACGACGGACCTCACGTACTTCATCATCGTCTTCCTCTTCGTGTTGGAGATCTACGCGTTCCTGGGCGTGCTGCTCCACGGCAAGGTCCACGAGGACTTCGAGAATTTGTTCGCGTCGTCGCTGACGATGATGAAGGCGCTCTGCGGCATGTTCGACGACAGCGCGATCGAGGTCACGTTCATCAACGCGGCCTTCTACTGGTCCTTCATGGTGCTGTCCTTCTTCCTCCTCCTGAACAGCCTGCTGGCCATCATCGTCGAGGCCTACACGTCCGTCGTCGAGGCGGGCCGCGCGGAGCAGCACACGGACCCGCTGCCCTTCACGCTCTGGAGGCTGCGGCAGGACGCCGCGATCTGGGGCTGGCGCGTGCTCCTGCCGTCGGGGCTCCGGCGCAAGTCGGGCCGGGGGGGGGCGCGAGG